TTTTTTTTTTCTCCTTAGCTTTGGGAGGGAGGTAATTTTCTGGAACTATCTTGTGGTAGCAACTTGATGATCCCTGTAGAAAACTGTATAAGATATTTAATATCTACTCCGCTACCAGCCAAAGCCTGTGCTGCCACACTTCTGAGAGGGGTCTGTGCAGTGTCTCCAGCTACAGTATTAGCTGGGAATGAGGACCATAGTGCTAATATTAACCCAATCTCTGTACTCTGATGGTTCAGAATACCCAGAGTATTTTTTTAGAATAAGCTATGCCTTCTTCATTACTAAGACAACACATGTTTCACATGAAATAAAAAGAGAAATTATACCAAAAAAAATAAAAGCAATGAACACTCATTTAGAGAAATTGGGAAAGTAGTAACAAGAAAAGAGCAACAACCACGGTCCCCTCATCCAAAGATATCACTTGTAACGCATTAGTGTTTTTCTTTTCAATCTATTTCCTTTGTAAATGTAAAGATTAAACGCACACAAACAGTTGTGATTCTATTGTATGTCATTTTATATAGTGACTATTTTCTTTTTTGCTTAACATTGTAACTTAATCATTTGCCATAGTCCTCCAGACCTTTCCTCACATCATTTTTTAAAAATTGATCACACACACACACACACACACACACACACACACACGATTTATTGTTCACTGGTTCCTCGTACATGCCCTGACCAGGAATCAAACTTGAAACCTTGGTATATTGGGACGACGCTTCAACCAACTGAGCTACCCGGCCAGAGCCTAAATATAATTTTAAATAGCTGTATAATTCTAAGCTGCATAAGCCCTTAGGTTCTTTACAGTGTTTCATAAGTATAAACATGTTCTGAGAATGGTATTTGCACTAACTCTTTTTTTCGTGTTTAAGAATGATTTTAGTGGGGTAGACTCTCAGAAATGATTGGTAGGTGTCACTCAACTGTTTACCAAATGAGCTGCTTCAGTTCACCTGCTACCAGCATCACATCAGAGTTTCCAATCCTTTTGATCAGGTTTTCTTTAAAATAGCATTTTTATAAAGAGTACCTCTTTATGATTATAAACAAAAGTTTAAAGAGACATTAGAAAATAAAATGTAGAGTTGTATAAGGACTATATTTCCGGGGGTTTTTGATGGCAGCAAATTGTAGGCCAATGGAAGAGCGAGCTGCAGCAGCACATTCACCACCGCCCCTTTTGTACCATCTGCTCATTCCAATCCCAGAGCCCTAACGCACAGCCGCTGTGATTTCTGAAAGTTGCTCATCTATATATTGTCTTGTTCTATTTTACTTCATACAGCTGAAGACAAACGTGAGTATATGTGACTAATTCCCCAGCATCTGCCAAAGTATCCATTTTTAAAAGATACTACCTCAGACTCATGCGTGTTTTTCAGCAGTGTGTATGAAATGATGCCGCTGAGGGCCAGCAAAGCTAACTAATGACCAGAGATGTCCCAGAGCAGAGCAAGTGAGCTCATGGGTTTTCCGCAAACCACCACCCCCTCCAAAAAAAAAAAAAAAAAAAATCCTTTTTTTTAAAAAGTGAATCTCAGGGGACATTCATTTGAAAATTCTAAATAAAATAATTTTCTCCTTTAGATGCAGATTAGCCAAGGGGACCTATTGGGTCTTGCTTTGGTCAACTCTCGACTCCAAAGCAAAACAACAATATGGTGGATTTCTGTGGCCTGGTAAAATAAAGGCCCGTTTTAGATAACACTGTAACTTTCCATGTATGTTCCCCTCCAGCTCAGATGAGACTTGGCCTCTAGCTGACTGTCGGTAGGTCTGCCTCTGACTCCTCCATGAGATGAGATGTGGGCCATGAAAGGCCTGCATGCTGTCCTTCCCACCCCCTGACAAAGCACTGCTGAGAAACAAGCATGCTTCTCTGGTTCTGCTGGGTGAGCAGCAAGCATGGGGTTCCTTTTCTTGCACTTCCGATGTTAATACAATAATAATAATGCCCAACTTCTGGCCAGGACTGTGGCATCTTTGAACTATTCCTTTTTTTAAAATCTTTTTTCGATTACAGTGTACATTCAATATGATTCTGCCCTTGTTTACTCTGTGGCAGCTCTCTGGAGTGGACATTATTATTATTAATGCTTGCCTTTATGATGATGAGCACAGAGACTCCTACTGGTTGTGTGGTTTGCCCCGGGCCACCCGTGGTCACAGATACTTTTTCTCACTCCTCGGGCCACTGTTCTCTCCGCTTCGCCCTCTCCTCCTTGTTTCTGTTCTCTTGTCTGCTCTCTCTCTGCACCTAGACGTCCTAACCAAAAGGCAGTTGGACTCAGACGCTCCGTCCCCTCCCACACATTGGGCCCAGCGATGAGCTGTACAAACCCATGGCATCACCTGTCCTTCAGGCCATGCCTCCAGGTTGTCACCGAATATTACCTGCTCCCCTTCTGAAACCCCAGGCTCCCTCCTGCCTTTCCACAACCACCGCTCCCGGAGGTATTTCTGAAAGGCAGAGCTCTTGGAATGCGAGTCAAATTTCAGCTGTGGTTACATGGAATCAAAACAGCTGGTTGATCCAGTAGAAGGAAATATCAACCGTATGGTTTTTATAAACTACTTTTTTTTAGTTGATTCAATTGTATTGATTTTATGAAATAACTTAGATACTAAAGTTTTGCTGTCGGTTTTTAAAAATGTTATCTTTATTGTTGAAATTATTACAGATGCCCCTTTTTTTTCTCCATGGACCCCTATTGTCTGTGTCCAGGGGTTATCCAAAAACTACTTCTCGAAAGTAGAATTTTCTGCTTTTCAACTATCTGTAGTGGCTTAGGAAGAGACAACCTCGGTAAAAACATTAATATTTTAAAATATGAAACAGATAGATGTGCGCAGCCCCGGATGATGAATGCTTATCTGGAAGAGCCAGACCTCAAGCACCTGGGGTTTGGCTGCTGGGCACCTGTTTCGTCCTGTCCTTGGTGAGACCTCCAGCAACATCGCCACAGACCCAGCATCCTCACCCCCACCTTCTTCTTCATCATCGTCACCGACTGGCCTGCTGCCATTTGCCCTTCATGATGCACGGACTGCCTCTAACATCTGCTTGCCATCCACCCTGAGGTGCATGTGCCTGTGTGTGCTGCTCAGGGAGAGACGATACCCCTTCCGGGGAGCAGTTGGCCGGGGGTGGGTGAGGGGGGGGAGGTAGGGCATTCTCAAACCATCAAGCACCCACTTAATGTTTTATCTGTCCCTTCATGGGTCGTGTGCTCGCCAAAGGACCACTCTGAGCACTCTAAGCTGCTTTTCAGTGTCAGAAAGTGCTTGAGTTTAATGGAACAAATGGATGTGTGACGTCCAGCCAACGGATTGGTCTTCCCTGTTACTCGGCCGTGACAAGCCAGGCTGCGAACAGGGCCTGGCTGTTCGTGTTGGTGAAGATGAGTCAATGACTGTCGTTTCTAATGTGAGCTTCAGCCTGTGCTAGGCCATGTCATCTATCACTCCCTTAATAGCCCACAGCCAACCCGAATGCCAAATACCTGTCTGACCAGGGCTACAAATTACACCATTCGGCTGTTCTGGTGTTTTCTTTCCCTGAAAGCATGTCCATGTACGTGATCTCACCGTGTGCCACGGCAGCCTGGTGAGCGGGGTTTGGTAGGCGTTAGTGTTCCCACGGCAGAGGAGGAACCGGAAACGGAGGAAGGGGAGGCAGCTGGCGCGTGCAGAACAGAGACTTGAACACGTTGCGTACACTTACTTAGGAGAGAATTGAAAGTGGGGCGTTTTGGATACCTGTATGCACGTTGATGGGGCAGGAGTGGGGGCGGGGGGGTCTTTCTCTTTGCGTGCACTGCGCTTTGTCATCCTGTGAGGAGTGTTTCTGTATTCTCCTGTCGCTCCAAAGAGCTGGTTGCCATTTTCATTATTTGCTGCCTACGCTTTGCTGGGGGAAAAACAAGAGACCTTGAAAAGCGTTAGAGGTGATGGCTGTTTAGATGGAAACAACTGGGCATCTGGAAAACACGGTGGGATGCTGACCGCCCGCCCCCACCCCTTCTGTCCTGAGCGTCTCGGGGTCGTCCACTGCCGAGCTCCAGGCCCCCCTCCACCCGTGTTAGGAACGGGGAAGCGAAACACGTTCCAGCGGCTTCCCAGGCTCACTCAGAAACGGACTCCAGCACCAGGCAGTCAGCTCCAGGGGTCGCCTTCCCCCCTGTGCCAGCATATCCCTAAAGTGTCAGGATTTGGGGGAAAACAAGCGAGGCTGTGGTATATGAGAGAAACACAATATCCATCCCATGAGGAAGAAAGAACCTGAGTACACTTTTTTTTTTTTTTTCCAGAAGTTCTTAGATCTTGGTTCTCTTTAGGAAGAAAAACCCCAAGGACCAACTACCCTATGTACATCTTTAAAACCAACCCCCCTAAAAATAAATAAATAAAATAAAATAAAATTTTAAAAAAGCACTCCACCCACCTCATTGAAGGACTCTGCTGCACGGTTAGCTGTGGAATCAAACCGAGCCCGGCCAGCCAAGGCGATCTTAGGTGAAATGCTAGTCCTCCGAGAGCCCAAGGCCACCTGAGGCCTCCTGGAACGTGTGTGAGATCTGACCTGTGCCTCTGATCATGGCCTTCCTTCCAGCTGCCCACCCGAAGCCACGGGAGAGGGGGCAGCAGCAGCGCCCAGCACGTTCCGGGGACGCTGGTCAGGGGCGGGGAGCCGCCCGGGGCAGGCCTCACCCCGCGCCTCCCGCACAGACCTCCGTGCCCTCGGGGAGGCGGGACCCTAACGCACCTCCTCTTTCAGAGATGGACGACGCCCTGCGGAGCTTCGCTGAGAAGGTGTTCGCCTCCGAAGTGAAAGATGAGGGCGGCCGCCAGGAGCTCTCCCCCTTCGACGTGGACGACGTCTGTCCCATCTCCCACCTGGAGATGCAGGCGCACATCTTCCACATGGAGGCCCAGGCCAGCGCCACGGCGGGCAGGCGGTGAGCGGGGTCAGGGGTGCTTGGCACATGGGGACACGAATGAGAGGAAACGTCAGGACAGGGGGCTCAGGGTGTCTGAATGATGGTGCAGCGCAAAGGGAGAAAGAATTCTGCCAGAAAACTAAAGTTTCTCCTCCAGCCCCCTTATGTACGCTGGGGCAGGGCGACAGGGACTAAAACGGAGGAAAGCAGTGGCCCACCTCCCTGGTCACAGTTCCCTTTGGCGGAAGACGCCTGAGCTGGAGCACATGAGTCACTGTGCCTTGTTCCAGGCCGGAGTGGCTGGGCCGCCGTGCACACGCTCAGCTTCTGCCTGATGGCTCAGGAGCTGGGACGCGGGAGCCTCGTCTTGAGACTCCACCTTAGCCGGCTTGGTGTTCTGCTGCCCGATGTGAATCCTGCCCTCCGGCCAGCCCGACCTCCTGCAGGCCCGGGAGCACAGGCTTCCATTTCTGCCCCCTGCCCTGCCATCCTGTGCACACAACACAGAATCACTGCCTCACAACAACTTGCATAGATCCCTCTCCACAAATGTGTCTATTTCCCCTTATCTAAGCTACTCTACTGCTCAGTATCCGCCATGATTTAGTCCTCAACCACTTAATTACCTCTTCCTCACAGCACTCCCCAACCTTTCCCTCTCTCTCTGCCCCCCCACCGCCCTCATGTTGAAAGACCATTCTGCTGTCTTCCTCTTGGCTTTCTATCTGTGAGGAGAAAACAACAATCTATCTTCTCTGGCAGCCCCCATAGGACCGAACCTTGGGCTTGGATCAATAAGCACTTGTTGCTTTGAAGAAGTAATGTTGATTATGCACCATGTAAGTTCCGGTATTGTGCAGTGCATTGTATGTACCTGAAATCTTATAGGAATTCTATCAGGGTGACGTTGTTACACAGTGTTTTGCAGACAGCAAGACAGAAGCTCACAGATGTGAGGAATAGGCACAGGTAGTGATTGACACAGCCTGTGTTTATTGTAATTCCCAGAATGCCTGTTTTTTTCCTGTGGAAAGCCTTCTAGAATGTTCCCTCAAGCCCACCGCTCCGGGAGGAAGGGAACAGTCATGTGATAGCTCCTCCCATACGGTCGGATCCTGTTTCCCACACCCAACCCACATTTTAGTTTTCACTTTTTGTTCTCAAAATGAAATTGCATAGTGAAGCATCCATTTATCGCAACGAAGCTTGCAGTGAAGACAAAGATAAATCCTTTTCTTCTTCTTCATTTTAAACCCAGAAAAAAGCGTTTCTCTGGGCGGAAGACGGTTAATCTGGCCATTCCACAAAGTGAGACATCGTCCGCCAGAATGTCCCAGATTGACGAGTACATCTCCTCCTCGCCAACCTACCAGGAGGTGCCCGACTTCCAGAGGGTGCAGATCACCGGCGATTACGCGTCCGGGGTGAGCTGCTCCTGGTCCCTCACCGCCGGGAAGACGCTCAGCTTCACTGTTTCAGCTTCTTCCCCTCCTCCCCTTCCTTCTGAGAGAGGTGTTAGCTCCCCTGCCCTGGGTCACATATCACTGCATCTCAAAAGCAATATGCCAGGACTTATATTTCTGTCTCGCTTCCATATTTTTGTAAAGCTTCCCACCACCACCGTAATTTCTCCTTTATCTCATTTCTGCACATGGAGAATGTGCGTGACACAGTACAGCGGGCAGATCTGAGCGAAAGAACCAAGGGAACCAGCTGGTGGGCTGTTCTCACTGAGGGCCTCACAGCGCACGAGAGGGATCCTCCAGGAGGCACAGGGGGCTCCTGGGAAAAGATGGGCCCAGGACAGACGTAGAATAGAGAGAAGGGCTGCAGGCAGCATGAATCAGTCCAAGACAAAGAAGGGAGAAGAGAGAAGAGTGGGGAGACGGGACAGAAGCAGGAAGGTGAGAGGCAGGTGAGAAGATTCCAATGGGGCTATTAGCCTTCGCCCAACTGTCCTCTCCAGTTTCACCGCAGACGCTTACATAATAGCGGGCTGCTTGGCACAGACCCTAGGGTGCCACAGGGACAGTAAGTTCGTTTCACAAACAACTTGACCTGCCTGTTCCACCCAGAACAGTTGGTCAGTTAATAAATCTCTGCCACGTGGACATGCAGAATCAGCACCCTATCGATGAACTGCTGTTAGGGCATCAGTCCAGGCTCCAAATATAGGTTTCATGACCAGTCCTCAGCCCCTTCCTCTGAAGCTGACCCACTTAGGGTGAGTCCTGAGGCACTGAAAAGCCACAGAGCAGTGCAGTGACCACTCTTGTTGTCCACTCATTTTCTGTGCCCAGATCAGTCTTCACCCTGTTAACTGGACAGAGAGGTGAAGGGAAACCAGGGCCAAGTGCTCAAGGTCACGGGTCCCTGGTAACAACTGGTTCAGACCAATCAGTCCTTACTGAGCGCCTACTCTGTGGTAGGTGCGGCGTGCTAAGTGCTGAGGACACGAAGGTGAATAAGATCTCCATCTTAACCTTGAGGAGCTGATAAACTGGCGGCCCGTTAGGTGGTGAGACAAGCACGCCAGTCAGTGCAGACCCTCAGACCTAGCACCTATGCCAGACTCTCTTGGCCAAGAAGAGCAGCTCTTTAAAAAGAATTCAGCTGATTAGAATCAATATCTGGGAACCACTGGGAACAAGCTTACTGTACATAGACCAGATTGACAAGTACATCTCCTTCTCGCCAACCTACCAGGAGGTGCATAGACCAGAAATTGCCAGGAAATTTCCAGCAATTCCAAGACCATTTTACTCCAGAATCTCTCCACTTGTAGCCACAGATAAAGTTCTCTTTAAAATCATCCAAAAGAATGAGCTCTCACAGGATGATGTTCTGATCCATTTAAAGCTACAGAAGGCATGTTAGGATGTGAGGGATGCATGACATTCTATTCATCCCAAAATATTGCCCTCACTGACCAGCAAGTGGTTGCAATTCTCCAATGAGAGTCACAGTGTCTTTTAGTTGAGATATTTTCTCCATATGCCCCAAAATTTTATATGTTACCAAGAAAGAAGGAAAGAAGGAAGGAAGGAAGGAAGGAAGGAAGGAAGGAAGGAAGGAAGGAAGGTGGGAGGGAAGGAAGGAAAGAAGGAAGGAAGGAAGGAAAAAAGGAAGGAAGGAAGGAAGGAAGGAAGGAAGGAAGGAAGGAAGGAAGGAAGGAAGGAAGGAAGGAAGTGAGAAAAACTTCAGGACCTGCAAGTCAGCTGGGAGGCAGCCAGGTGGGCAGGTGGGGCTCAGCGGCACTCAGGCCGGTTGGGAGATGCCAACGACAAGCTTTCCCGCGTCTCGGACTTCCACGGGAACAATGCTGATGCCCCGACGTGCGTTCGGCAGGTCACGGTGGAGGATTTTGAAATCGTCTGTAAGGGTCTGTACCGGGCGCTCTGCATCCGGGAGAAATACATGCAGAGATCCTTCCAGAGGTTCCCCAAGACCCCCTCCCGGTACCTGCGGAGCGTGGACGGGGAGCCTTGGGTGACGGACGAGAACTTCTGCCCAGGTGAGTGACCCTCTTCTGCAACGTGTGGAATACATCATTAGGTTCCACTACTAACTGTTAAACATGCCCTAGATTAAAAATAAGCCAGTCTGGAAATATCAGAATCATGCCCTGGCTGGTGTGGCTCAGTGATTGGAGCGTCAGCCCACACACCAAAGGGTCCTGGGTTCGATTCCTGGTCAAGGGCACATACCTGGGTTGCAGATTGCAGCCCAGCCCCTGTCGGGCCCCTTGCTTTGTTCTCGGCTTTCCCAGGTTGACACTGAGCAGTGGGAAGAAGGGGTCATTCGTCCATATAACCCCTCCTTAACTCCTTGAGCAGAAATCAGAAGTGCTGTCAGATGTGGGAAATATAATCACAAAAAGAATTGTCGTTCTTACAACAAAAGTTTATTTTATGTTTCCCTGTATATTAAAACTACTCAAGATAGAGCACAGAGGATTCTCGGGGCAGTAAGACTATTCTGTGTTGCTGTAAGGTTGGATACATGTCATTTAGACATTTGTTAAAACCCACAGAGTGTACAGCACCAAGAGGGCACCCTGATGTAAATGACAGACTTTGGGTGACAACACGGTACTGGTGTAGGCTCAGTGATTGTAACGGACGTACCTCGGTGCCGGGGTTGATGGTGAGGCTCTGGGGGGAGGGGGGGCGCGGGGAGCGGGCAGCTAGGAGAATGTGGGAATGCTGTACCAGTTGCTCAATTTTGCTGTGACCCAAAAACTGCTCTGATAATTAAGCCTATTTAAAAATATCGTCTCTACATTTAGGCTGATAGAGGAGGTTGGTTTAAATAAGGAAAAGGTCCAAACTCTACTTTCTGTCATTTTATTTTTATTTCTATGCAATCATCTCATAAGCTAATAAAACGCTCTAAACAGGAAGCCTTTGATAACCCACTTTAGTAGGTAATTAAAATTATTTCTGAACTAACATATCAGTTATGTAAACAGTACTTCGAAAGAACGTGAACATTATTCTTACACCAAGTAAACCATGGCAGTTACTTTACGCTACTCACTCAGTCACCTTCGAGCAACAACGTAAAAATACACGTGATCAGCTCTGGGTAGCGACAATCTGCAATGTACAGGATCCCAGACGAATGAGACGTCACAGCATCTCATATGTTGGTTATTTTTACCTGGTCATTCACCCCGCGTGCTGACACGTGCCTCTGTGTTTCGTTGACGAAGCCTTCACCCCTCCCGTGAGAAAGGGAGAGGACCCTTTCCGCACAGACAGCCTCCCGGAGGACCTAGGCTACCGCCTCTGCATGAGGGACGGCGTGGTCCACGTCTACCCCAGCGAGGAGGCGGCCAGCAAGGACGAGCCCAAGCCCCTGCCCTACCCCAACCTGGACTCCTTCGTGGACGACATGAATTTCTTACTTGCTCTGATTGCCCAAGGACCCGTGTAAGCGTTTAGCGAGATCTAGCCTATCCCTCCAACTGTGGGTAGTAGACATACGTATTTATTAAGTGCTGACGGTGTTTCAAAGCTATGTTAAGCCCTCCATGTACATGATTTCTTACACGCCTCGCAAGTGTTCTAGGAGGTCCTTATGTATAAGTTCACTTCTCCAGGCTGAGGTGCGGATGAGTTAAGTCATTTGCCCCGGCGCACAGCTGACTGAGAAAGGATTGGAGCTCGCTCCAGAGCCAGGGTCTTCGCCCTGAGCCACACAGTCTCCCCTGCCTTGCAGTGCCTTCCTGAGTCCTCCCTCATTAGGATGCCCAATTCTGATGAAAAGATGAAGCCCTTTCAGTAAACGGAAACGTTTGTCCTAATCATTGTTTCCTGTAGTTGTTGAGGGTCCTGATGGTTTTGAATTTGTGGCTTCCTTAAATGTCTGGAATTTTTTTAGAATCACGGGATTTAATTTTTCACAGAAAGACCTACACCCACCGGCGCCTGAAGTTCCTCTCCTCCAAGTTCCAGGTCCACGAGATGCTCAACGAGATGGAGGAGCTAAAGGAGCAGAAGAACAACCCGCACCGGGATTTCTACAACTGCAGGAAGGTAAGCAGCCGCTCGGTGGCCATCCCTGGGCAGACACAGGAGCCCAGTTAGCATTTCTCGAGCAGGACGAGAACGATACTGTCTTTCTGATTGATGGAAGATTTCTGTAGCGTAAGCGGAATTTACTAAAAGCAGATTATGTCCAAACTGTTAAAAGCCATTTGTATGGATTTCACATGGAAAGGTTTACCACCTTCTTGTCATAAAAAGTCATAATCCTCAACCACAGAAATAAAAGCAAGTAAAACCTCAAAACCCACTAGTCAGGATCTGAAAGGTCTTCATTCTAGTCCTTTTTCTTTTACCTCCTGATTGAAGACATTGGGGAAGGAATGAAATATTTCTGAGTTTCATATTCCTCATGGAGAAGTGTATCTGCACAGTCTAGCTCACAAAAGGATTATGGACACTCAATGAACTAATGATTGTGAACACTCATCAACTGGAAACACCTCCAAGATGTGTTGTGACCACTGAAGTAGCTGCAAGGAAGTGGGAATAGGAAATATATGGGCAGTAATTCGGGACCAAATTCTGGCTCAGCCAACTGTATAGCCCATCAATACTTCAGCCTATAAAACTGTAATTATAAAAATAGCTCATACATGCCATCACTGGGCCATGGCTTCATGATCTCAATCCTTTCTCTCTTTGGGGCTGAAAACTATGGTGTCTACTGCACTTCCTGCGGATGTGTCTCAGAGATAGAGAATGGTCCCCAAGAATTTTGTGTGGAACAGATGTAAATTGGAAGTAAATTGGATGTAGAGTTATACAACAGAAGCAGGCATTGCTAATTCCTCCAGCCTAAACTTTCACTTCCTTGCCATGGGTGTTTTGTGTGGTTGGGTTGTTTGTTTGATTGTTTGTTTGTTTGTTTGGTTGGTTGGTTGGTTAGTTGGTTGGTTGGTTGGTTGGTTAGTTGGTTGGTTGGTTGGTTAGTTGGTTGGTTGGTTAGTTGGTTAGTTGGTTGGTTGGTTGGTTGGTTAGTTGTTTGGTTGGTTGGTTAGTTAGTTGGTTGGTTGGTTGGTTAGTTGGTTGGTTGGTTAGTTGGTTGGTTGGTTAGTTGGTTGGTTGGTTGGTTGGTTGGTTGGTTGGTTGGTTAGTTGGTTGGTTGGTTGGTTAGTTGGTTGGTTAGTTGGTTGGTTGGTTGGTTAGTTGGTTGGTTGGTTGGTTGGTTGGTTAGTTGGTTGGTTGGTTGGTTGGTTAGTTGGTTGGTTGGTTGGTTGGTTAGTTGGTTGGTTGGTTGGTTGGTTGGTTGGTTGGTTGGTTTTTTTTGCGGGGCCTTTTGCACCTGCTGTCAAGTCACAGCCTTGTTGCTTATTCCTTCCTCCCGCCACAGTGGGGTTTGCAGGCCTCACAGAGAAGCATAACTGAAGCTGACTGTTGGCTTTCTTTCTCTGAACGCACTCACAGGTGGACACCCACATCCACGCGGCTGCCTGCATGAACCAGAAGCACCTTCTGCGCTTTATCAAGAAATCTTACCACACTGACGCTGACAGAGTGGTCTACAGCACCAAGGAGAAAAAGCTGACCCTCAAGGAGCTTTTCGCGAAACTAAAAATGCATCCCTACGACCTGACCGTTGATTCTCTGGATGTTCATGCTGTAGGTTGAAAAGATAATGTCCGTTCCACTCCCACACTGAAGAACCCCACAGGCCTTTCTCCCATAGACTCTCCCTCTCAGAGCCATGCTGGCCTGCCGTTCTGACCGAAAGCACACAGACACGTTTAAGGTTCATTCGTTCACCAGCTGCAGTCCCAGGTTCCATTCTCGGAGCCCAGCCCCTGCCCTGGCCTCCAGGCCCCTGTTCCTCATGGCCACGCCCCAGCGCTCTGTGTGCAGGCACCTCTGCTAACGATACACCTGTGCTCCTGTTTCCTGATTCAGGGACGCCAGACTTTCCAGCGTTTTGATAAATTCAATGACAAGTACAATCCTGTAGGAGCCAGTGAGCTGCGGGACCTCTACCTCAAGACAGACAATTACATCGATGGAGAATATTTTGCCACTATCATCAAGGTGAGGAGGAACCGCCAGATCTATGGTACCTGGCCTAGCTCTTGAGGAGGAAGAGAAAGAGAGGGAGGAAAGAAAGGAAAGAGGGGAGAGGAAGGAAAGAAGAAAGCAGGGAAGGAGGGAAGGAAGGAAGGAAAGAAGGAATAAAGGAAGGAAGGAAGAAAGGAAGGAAGGAAGGAGGGAAGGAAAGAAGGAAGGGAAGGGAAGGGAAGAACGGAAGGGAAGGTAGGGAAGGGAATCAGGCACTACATAAATGAATATAAGAATTACTACTGAAATGTCCGCCGTGATGATTTTTAAAGACTTCTATTCCTGGGATTAGATTTGGGGTTAAGGACCTGGCTCTCTCGGGCTTTGGGAGTTGTAAATTCAGGAAGAGTTGGGATTGGAACTGCCCTCATTATCATGCCTGAGCATGAGGGCGCAGGGATGTCCTGTGGCGTTGGGAGACGTGTTTTTGTGGTTTTTTTTGTTTGTTTGTTTGTTTTGGGGGGGGAGGTAGGGGCCTATGAGAAGCTGGGTTTCTTTAGCAGGTGCCTGGGATAGTTCGTCATGCTTAGTCTGACCATTTCACTCCCTAGACTCCATGACGTCCTCTCCGTCTTTCCCTCCCCATGGGACTCCCTTCAACTCTGTTCCCTTAGACCTTAACCTTGACAGCTTCCTACTGGCTTCTCATGTTTCCTCCATTCTTCTTCGTACCCATCTCCTGTCCCGGGACCCCATGGCGTAGACCCTCCCTCCCATTTACTTGTGGGGATTCCTGGCTTTGGAGCCCTCTCTCGGCTTTGCAGGAGGTAGGTGCAGACCTGGTGGAGGCCAAGTACCAGCACGCCGAGCCCCGCCTGTCCATCTACGGCCGAAGCCCTGAGGAGTGGGACAAGCTCTCCACCTGGTTCGTCCGCAACCGCATCCACTGCCCCAACATGACATGGATGATCCAGGTCCCCAGGATCTAGTATGTACCCGCCCTCGGAAACCCTAACGCCTCCCCTCCTCCGCACAGGCAGGAAATGGGCAGCGTGTCAAGACAGGAACACGCTCTCGGTACTGGGTCCTGTGACCCGGGTGCCTGACATGGTTCACTCTGAGTTCAGCGCCCCTGGCCGCAGACAGACGTTAGGAAGATCCTATCAGTTCGCTCTCTAACCGGAAGGCTTTTTGTTTTTGTTGTTTTTTTAAACACAGGACTTCATATAGATCGCAAAGTAACTTACTGAGAACGAGTAAAGCTTAGCTAAGGACTATATGCATCTTACTACACGTTTTCTTTCTCCTGCTCTTCCTCTCCGTGTCCAGCTTATTCTTTCCCATTCTCATCTCTACTGGGATGTAGCTTCCCTGTATCAGAACCACGTCTACAGTCTGCTGATCGTCTCAACAACAAGTGCTCAAGTTCTCCATCATCAACGAGTCTTTATCAATGGTGTTATCACCTGTTAATTACTCATTGCCCTCAGAGCTGTTCAGTGTCATTGAGTATTTATCTAACCCAAGTGTGTATATATTTTCTGACCACCAACTTCATGTTCTGTGTGCCCGGAGGCAACACAAGAATTTTATCCTATCTCTTTAGCCAAAAAAGTAACTTTTTGACTGGAATTAGTACTTTCCGACTAGTATTATTAGGGTAGAGAGGCAGTAGGTGTGGTGGTTAGGAGCATGGACCCAGACTGGCTGTGCTTGAATTCTGACCCTACCACTTACTTTGCTGTGTGCCTTGGTTTTATCATCTTTAAAATGGGGCAATACCGGTACTAAACTTATGGGGTTGTTATGAGGATTAAATTAGCTAATATTTCTGGCCAGTTACTAGAGAGGCTGGCATATGCTGAGTGCTATAATAAGAATTTGTTAGATTGCCCCTGGCCACAACACAGGATTGTTCTTGATAACTGTTTCATGTGTACCATCTTGTACACCACACACATAAATAATTGAACCTTTTATGTTATAGTCCCTTTACTCCTCATTCTCTACCTAGAGTTAGCTGTGAAAGTTCACTTTTCTTACGACCTGAGGATCTGTAGAAGAGATGGGGCCATCAGGCAAGAAATTGATACTTTCTATGCCCAACCACACCTGAATCCCTCTTTATGGGTAACCAAGAAGCGTGTACCAGAGTGGACATAGGATGGACTTACTAGGTCTTTTCCTAAACATGCCATTTGGTCCTCTGGCTCCCTTGAATTGGGGCTATCAGTCCTAAAAATCTCCCTGTCCTCCTAAATTCTCTTCATTTCTGCCTCTAGCGATGTGTTTCGATCTAAGAATTTTCTTCCGCACTTTGGGAAGATGCTGGAGAACATTTTCATGCCGATCTTTGAGGCCACCATCAACCCGCAGGCTCACCCAGACCTCAGTGTCTTCCTTAAGCATGTAAGCGTGACCTGTCGGCCTCCGTCTTGCTGCACACAGACAAGCCCGCCTCCCTGGCCGTGACTGATCCTCGGTGCTTCTCTCTGTGCCTGGGCCTTGCCTCGGGGAGCTGAAAGTTTGTCTGAGGGCTGGGACCCTGATGTCAGATGGAACCCATTGCCTGGTTTGCTTTTCCTGACAGATCACTGGCTTTGACAGTGTGGATGACGAGTCCAAACACAGTGGCCACATGTTTTCCTCCAAGAGCCCCAAGCCCCAGGAGTGGACAATGGGGAGTAATCCGTCTTACACTTACTACGCCTACTATATGTATGCGAACATCATGGTGCTCAACAGCCTGAGGAAGTGAGTAGATGAGAATTGGAGCTTGGAGACTCTATTTCATACCTTCTCTCCTCCCTCGTGCACGGGCGCCCTTGGCGGTCAAGGGCCTGAGCTGCACTGGTGGGATGCTTCCAGCTGGCTCAAATCAGACATTTCTTTCCCTTGACTTTTTCTCCAGTTTCTTTACTTACATTTATTTAGGGGCAGGAATGATTATTTTGGAGCTTCCAGTAACATTCACAGTTTTCTTTGGATGTTTACAGTAACTTACAGTAGTAACTATGCAATCTATCTATCTATCTATCTATCTATCTATGCCTAAGTGACCATTACAACCAAATAACCGGGTGACCGATCGCTATGATGCATACTGACCACTAGGGGACAGATGCTCAATGCAGAAGCTGCCCCCTGGTGGTCAGTGTGCTCCCCCAGCAGGAGCACTGCTCAGCCAGAAGCTGGCTCACAGCTGGCGGCCTGCACAAGCCTCTCCCGCCTCTGCTGCAGTGATATCGAGCCGTGCCGGCCCCGGCTCAGGCTCCTCCCCGGAAGCCTGCTGTTTGGCGCACTACTACATCCCCCAAGGGGTCCGGCCAGGCGGAGGGACCCCACCAGTGCACAAATCCGTGCACCAGGCCTCTAGTTTATTATAGAACTCCATACATTTCCCCCCTCTTGATAGATCTAAATAAGAATAAATAGAGGAATATTATTCTGGGGCTTTTGGAAAACAGTTTTCCCTTGAAGGGTGAGTAGGAGAAATGATAGGGGGATGCTGGTGAGTTTCCTGTGGAAACAGAAGATGTTTCTGTTCAGGTAATCAAACCCTGACTTTCTGCTGTACCCTCATGTCCTCTGCTGCCTGTTTTTCAAAAGTCCGTGTTTAGGAAGACTTAAGGTTGTGTTTCAGAACTGCTGGTTTTGCCAAGTCCTTTGAGTACCCTCCCAGAAAGTTCATTTTTGCCATCAAATTTTCTCATAAATTGCCCTATGCCCAGAATTGTTGCGAGGTCCTAGTCAGTTGCCTGTGACTCCTACAGCCGTTCCGTTTCCCCAGGGAACGAGGCATGAACACGTTTCTATTCCGACCTCACTGTGGGGAAGCCGGAGCGCTCACCCATCTCCTGACTGCATTCATGACAGCGGACAACATATCTCATGGCCTGAATTTAAAAAAGGTGAGGCGGAGGCTCTGTGAATACCAGTACATTTTTTAAACAGTCAACATGGAAAGACTCATAGACACAGAGAACAGACTGGTGATTGCCAGAGGGGAGACGGGTGGAGTGAATGGGTGAAAAGGTGAAGGATTAAAGCTATTCTGGGACTGCGATGTTGTAACATACAACATAGGGAATACAGTCAATAATATTGTAAAAACTATGTATGGTGCCAGGTAGGTTCGGAAAATATTGGGGAGAATACTTTGTAAGGTATATGAATGTCAAATCACTATGCTATATACCTAAAGCTAATACAAAATAATATTGAATGTAAACTGTTATTGAAAAATAAAATTAAAAAGAATAACTTTTTAGAATATATTTTATTGATTTTTTTACAGAGAGGAAGAGAGAGGGATAGAGTTAGAAACATCGATGAGAGAGAAACATTGATCAGCTGCCTCTTGCACACCCCCTACTGGGGATGTGCCTGCAACCAAGGTACATGCCCTTGACCGGAATCGAACCTGGGACCCTTCAGTCCACAGGCCTACGCTCTATCCACTGAGCCAAATCTCTTGATTAGGGCAAGAATAACTTTTTATTGGAACTAGCCACACGTCATTATCAAGACTGACAAGTTAAAGTAGAACAAAAATGGCTTTGAGGTTATGTAGTGCCGTTCATTTTACAGAGGCTCAAGATTACCCAGCTATTGATGGCCGAGACAGGTTCACAGATCGCCTGGCTTCCATTTTAGAACTCTGACAAAGGATAATTCAGAGGCAGCTTGGCTCACCTTCAGCTAGTGTTTGCCAGATTCCTTGTTATAGCATGTCTTAAAATGTCTCTCGTGAGAGTCAGAACTTCCTTATAGAGAAAAAAAAAAGAAAGAAATGTTTCTAGGTGAGGTCTTTTGCCAGAGACAGCCACCCAGCTCGATACTTCTGAGAATTGATGATCCCAAATCATCTTCTTCTCAACAGTATTCATATTTAAAAACGATTCCTCTTCTTCACTAGAGGATTTAAAGAACAGCTGATCATGAATGGAAAGCTAAAACTTAAGGCAGACCATGGGGTTTTAACTTTTCTCGTTCAGATCCCTTGTCAACATCCTTAGTAATTTTATTTTCCTTTTCCTTTTCAGACTCCTGTATTACAGTATCTGTATTTCTTAGCTCAGATTCCCATCGCCATGTCGCCATTAAGTAACAACAGCTTGTTTCTAGAGTATGCCAAAAATCCCTTCTTAGATTTCCTCCAGAAAGGGCTAATGATCTCACTGTCTACAGACGACCCGATGCAATTCCACTTCACCAAGGTACTCAGATGGGATCTTGAGCAATACCAGCATCTTTTTTTTTCTTCAATATTTTATTTTTAAAATTAATTTCTTTATTGATTAAGGTATCACATATTTGACCTCAACCACCCATTCCAATCTCCCATCTCCCCTCATGCCCCCAACCCCTATTGTCCTTGGCCACTGGTTAGGCTCATATGTGTGCACATAAGTCCTTTGGTTGATCTCTCCCTTTTATCCCCACCCTCCCTCTGAGGTCCGACAGTCTGACCCGTGGCTCCTTGTCTCTGGGTCTGTTCTTGTTCATCCGTCTATGTCGTTCAATACCAGCATCTTTTGTCGAGCTGTTGTTTCCCACCCAGAATTTTAAAGTTAAACGGATTGGTTTAACTATTCTTCCCGTGCAAGGCGCCGCTCTTTTAACACATTCTTTTCCTTTCTTCCCTCTTTCCTTCTGCCTCATGTACATACACCCCCGAAGGAGCCCCTCATGGAAGAGTACGCCATTGCCGCACAAGTCTTCAAGCTGAGCACCTGCGACATGTGTGAGGTGGCGAGGAACAGCGTCCTGCAGTGTGGAATGCCTCACGAGGTAGGCTTGTCTTTCCCCGGCTGCCCTTCTGACTTCGGATCTGGCCACTTGACTATTGAAAACCAAGTTGGAAATACACGTGGGGGAAATTATCCCCCAAATCCCATGCGGTTGCTATGGACAGGGACTAGACTTCTCTCTCTCTGGCCGGGCCTTTTGGCCTTCGGGACAAGGGACACTAAATGCACTTGTGTCTCAGCGGACCGTGCACACTGAGGCGCAGGTGAGTGCTTTAACGGCTTTCTTTCTTTCCCTTTGTCAATGGCTAACGCAAGGAAGGGATCCTGTGAAGGGTGTAACGGTTGTCTCTATCAGGGTACAAAGAGATAACAGCCATTCTGCTTCCTTTCCGCTGACAGGAGAAAGCCAAGTTCCTGGGCAGCAATTACCTAGAGGAAGGCCCCATGGGAAATGACATCCGGAGGACAAACGTCGCCCAGATCCGCATGGCCTATCGCTATGAAACCTGGTGTTACGAACTTAATTTAATTGCCGAAGGCCTTAAGTCAGGAGACTAAAATAAATAAACCAAATACTATTCGGGTGAGATTTTCATGTGAATAATGATAGCTACCAGTTCTTGAATCCTTACTATAAGCCAAGGGTTATATTAGATATTATTCCACTGACATCATCTTGGTTAGCTCTTTTCGCAACTTTAATAAAGCAGGTGTTATTACCTCTATAGGGGGGAAGACGAATAAACTAAAGTTAGTGAAGTTAGTGAAGTTAATAACCTGCACAAGGATACACCTAAGTGAGCGGTAGCAGTGGGGACCTGGGTTTGTCTGACCCCAGAATTTCTATGACCTTCAGGCTAAGCAGTTATTAAGGTGGAGTGGGAGTGGGGCGAATACAAAGAATGACTTGATATTGGGAGAACTTTTGGTTTAGAGAATAAAACTTGCTTAGGCACTTTGATCCTTGGAAAGTCCTTCTGACGAGATATAATTAAAGAGTGGCTTTCTTAGACAAAAGTCGAACAAGTGTAAATATAGAAAATCTGTACTTATGAGTCATTCTATTTAGTGAGAATGTATCTTACAAAAGGATTCTTAGCTTTAAGGGTTTCATTGACGATAAAGTTAGAGTCACTGGTAGTGATACATTTGAAATGTCTTCACTTACCAAAACAAGCTATAACTTTCTATAATAGAAACTGCCTGTTACTCAGGCTAAGTCATATTCCAATTAGCCAGGCTATACTTACCCACATACAACTGTGTTGCCATCTAGTGGTTGGGCTGATACTTCATATTTATTTAGTAAACAAATACTGATCAAATACCCAAAAGTATCAGGTACTATTCTAGACAGCAAAGGTATAAAGAATAAGACTTCCTCCCTATCTCAGGTTATAGGATCAGCGGATTCAAATGTGAAAGAGAATTTGGTGAAACATCTCAGAAAGAAATGACGTTCGTTTCAAATGGAAAAAAATTAAAAATAGCAAATTCCGGTCCATTTCCACATTCTGTACGGGTTGCCGTCAGCATAGGTGTGATCCCAACGGCATGTCTGTACTAGCCCTAGGGTTAAGTCTCCTCCCTGTTTTCTGAAGTTGAAGTTCTGTTAGCGGAGTATGTGTCAGTCCCTTAGAGAACCTAATTTCATTTTACCTTACCAAAATAATACAAACCGCGACATTTAACGTTCTATTCTCAGACTTAAGACACCACCACCATGTATATCTCCGTCTTACCCATGAGAGGGCAGTAGAATACATGCATGGCAATTCCTTTATTAAACCCATAGAAACCCACTCAGATTTGGTTTCGTACTTGGTATGTGTCATCAATCTCTTTCTTTTCTTTTTCTTTTTCCGCCAAAGAATCTTCTGGAGTGCAAAGTCTGAACGCTGAAGTAAATCAGAATGTTGAAATAAAATTCAAATCCACACTATTCTAGACCAACATTCCATCTTGGACTACTTTTGGGAAGTTTTCTAAACATGTGAGACCTTGGGAGGGTAGTGGGGAGAGGGGAGAGAGAGTTGCCCACAAAGATCACTGTTCAAAACGTACTCCAAACAAAACATGCATTTCCTCATTGAGTGAGATTTTTATAGTCTTGTCATGCCTATTCCCCCCCCACCACCACCATCCTATTGTAGAAGGTCACCCCTGTATCCCTGTCCCCAGCCCCGGGGTTCCGGATGGCTGGGTGGGATGCTCAGCTCTCCCCACTGTGGCTACGTCGGCTTGTGACAGTCACCGCCGACGTGTAACGTGTAACCGAACACCCTCTCTCCGGCGGGCGGGCGTGCATTCCGGCGCCTCTGTGCGAACAGCTGCGGGAGGAGCGTCTGGGCCCGGACCCGGAGGCCGGGCGGGGCGGAGGGCGCGGCGGGCGGGCGGGCGGGGAGCCGGCGCCGGGGAAACAGGCTCCGCTCCGCCCGGCCCCGCGGCTCCGGGTGAAACTGGGCGCTGCCCGCGGGGGCGCAGCCCGCGCACACCGAGCCGCGGCGCCTGTGCCTGGGGGACGTCCAGCCTCCGGTGTCCGGAGCGTCCCTGGCAACCACGTTTCCAACCGGCACCGCGCGGCGATCGCCGGGCACGAGTGCTCCCCGAGCTCCGCCCGGACCCGGTGACGGGCCTCTGCCCCGCGGCGTCCCTGCGCCAGGGCCGCACCACCTGTGGCCGCCAAGTCGCGTCAAAGTTCAGGTCCGTCGCGGAGGGGCCGGTCCGCGCGCACCGCGAGGGCCCCGCAGCTCCGCTAGAGGCCCCGGCGGGGCGACGGGAGCGACAGGGCCGACGGTCGCCAGCCGCTGGGGCCGCGGCGTCGTGGCTCGGAGCTCCCGGGCCAGGTCCCTGCCCGGCGCGTCCGCGGACCGCGCGGGGGCGGTTCCCCTAGCGACGGAGCCTGGCAACGCCGGGGGCGGGCCGAGCGTGAGGGATGGCGACAGCAGCCAATCAGGAGCCTGTGTGGCCGGGCGGGGGCGGAACCTTCGGCCGGGCCTGCGGGGGCGGGACGGAGGCGACGCGCGGGGGACAGACGGCCGGAGCGCCCCGCTGAGGGAGGACGGAGCCGCGCAGCCGCCGCGGGCCGGCGTCGGGGCCCCGGGCAGGTAGGAGCGGGGGCTTCGAACCGGGGCCGCGGGGGGCGAGGGGGGTGTCGGCCCCGACCCGGCTGTCTCGGCGCCTCCCGGGCCTCGAGGGACGCGCGGTGTCCGGGCCCCGAGGACGCGGGTTCGAGCGCCCGCCTGGCGCCGCGGGGTTGAGGCGGAGCGGGGCCGCCGTCCTCGGGGCGCGGGCCGTCGGGCGGCCGCGGTGGGGCCCCGCGGGGGGACAGGGGCCCCGCGGGGGGACAGGGGGCCTCGCGGGGGGACAGGGGCCCCGCGGGGGGACAGGGGGGCCCCGCGGGGGGACAGGGGCCCCGCGTGCCTCGTCCCGGAGGAGCCGCTTCAGCGTCCACAGGGGTCGTCGAGGGGCTTCACGTGAAGGTTCGTGTTTGGATTCTTAACAGAATCGACTCGCACAGCAGCCACAGCCAGGTCCGTGTTTGTGTAACGTCGGACCCGGGACATGGCCGGCTCCGAGGAGCGGAGCGGCCGCGGGGAGGGGAGGCTGAGTCCGGGCGGCGGAGGCTGGGCCGGGCCCACGGGCCGGGCCTCCGCTCCTGGGCTGCAGAGCTGGGGTGCTCGAGCCCGAGGGCTATTCCGAGGGTCCAAGGAGCTGAGAGCATTCTTCTTCTTTTCTTCTTTTTTTCATATATTTTTTATTGATTTTTTACAGAGAGGAAGGGAGAGGGATAGAGAGTTAGAAACATCCACGAGAGAGAATCATCCATCAGCTGCCTCTTGCACAACCCTCCCCCGCCCCCCTCACTGGGGACGTACCCGCAACCGAGGTACATGCCCTTGACCGGAATCGAACCCGGGACCCTTCAGTCCGCAGGCCGACGCTCCATCCACTGAGCCACACCGGTTTCGGCTGAGGGTATTCTTCCCAACGTTAGGTGTTGTTATTGGACGGTGCACCAGCCTCCTGCACGTTGACTAATGGCTAGGCACATAGTAGGGACTCTGAGACACATAGTAGGCACTCTGTCAAACCTTTACCCTAAAGCTAGGGATCGACCTGCGTGTTTTAGATAAAAACCCCCGAACCTCTGCCAGGGGTCCTCAAACTTTTTAAAGTGGGGGCCAGGTCACCGTCCCTCAGAGAGCTGGAGGGCCGGACTATATGAACTACTAATTCCTACTGTCACACCTCGGCTGCGCTCACTGCCCAAAAAACCTGGCGGGCCGGATCAGACTCCTCTGCGGGCCGCATGTGGCCCGCGGGCCATAGATTGAAGACGCCTGGATGCTTCAAGCCCCTTTCCCACTGTTTGAAGCGTGGCCCGTGTTTAGCTGATGAATGAACTTTTCTGCAGCAGCGCATGTGATCTACGCCCTCACTGCTCCTAAGTCATTTCCTTCCCGCGGAGCAGGCGGTGGCCGGCGTGTTCAGTGACCTGGGAGTGTTGTTTTGATTTGCTTTTTTAAGAGTCCGGTCCTCCCGAGCAAAGGTAATGCATGGCTGTGTGTTTTCTGTAAGGGCGTTATGATAGACATTTGCATTCTTTTCTTTTGGGCTTGAGGGATTTAAGAGGAGAGCGGAAATAAAACGGACCGGCAGTTTGTAACCGGCAGACGTTTACCGGGGATACTGCTGGGCGTGTTCTGAATTCGTTTCCCAGGCAGAGACCAGGAAATGTAGTAATTGTGTTTCTTGGCCTTTATTAAATTTTTTTGTGTTGAACCTGGCATGGATTTTTTTAAATGCAGATATAAAGGAATAATTTCTTTTTCGTGATATGACAATAAGCAGTTATCTAAAGTTGGAAATTGTATTTTAAATGATCTGTAATGAATCATATAGCAGATAAGGATTTTAGGACATTGAATACCAAGATCAAATTAAATGGAGAAATAAAAAGGAAAGGTGCTAATGAATAGAATTTTGTGTTGCTTTAAAATGTTTACATGTTTTGCCGAAACCAGTCCGGCTCAATGGATAGAGCATCGGTCTGTGGACTGAGGGGTCCCAGGTTCGATTCTGGTCAAGGGCATGTACCTTGGTTGCGGGCACATCCCCGGTGGAGGGTGTGCAGGAGGCAGCTGATTGATGTTGCCCTCTCATCGATGTTTCTAGCTCTCTATCTCTCTCTCTTTCTCCCTGTGAAAAATCAATAAAATATATATTTTTTTAAATAAAAATAAATGTTTACATGTTTCAAAGGTTCGGTGAAGATGAATGTTTTGAAACTATTTAAAAGTTTTAAATACATTCTCCAGATATAAATGTAAACTCCATATGTAAATGTTGCTGTGATATATAACTTGTGGGTATTAGAAGCTTGAAGCCTTACATTTACATTATTTATTGAGCACCTATTATATTCCAAGGCACAGTTTGAGCACTTACCTTGTACAGTATTCATGTATGGGCAGGATATGATTCTTTATCTTGGAGATTGGTGGGCTAAAATCAATCTAACAACTGGGCTAAAATAAGTACTCAGGAAGCTGGTTTTAAACTGGTAACAACACCCACCAGCATTCATCCGGACCTACTCTGAGCCAGGCGGTGTTCTAAATTCCTCCCGTGCATTAGCTGGTTGAATTCTTACCCAGCACCACGAGGGGTGTTATTATTATGAGCTTCTTGCTCAAAGACACAGAGGAGTTGAGTAACTTGCCCATATCAAGCAGCCTACGTAGCAGAGCTAGGATGCAAAGGAACACTCCCCCCAATCCTGATCTTACCCTCTGCACTATACCGAGTTTCCAGCTCTGTGAGTGACTTACAGATGAAATCCAATGGGTGTTTAAAAAGAGTTCTGCAAAGAAAGTCTTCAAAAAGAAAGAAAGAAATACATAGGGAGAGAACAGAAACTGGTATTGCAAGATGTAGACTGAAGTCATGTTCAAGCCACAATTAATTATACTTGGCATATAAGAGCATTTCCCCCCTGCTGAATGACGTGGGATTCTTTTTGTTTCTAGGTTCTCAGTCACGACAATTATGGCACCATCTTAATAATGTGAGAGGTGATTATTTTTCAATAAGAAGTTTAAAATGTCTGTTCTTGGACCATGAGTTAAATGTTAGATTGAGGAAAAGAAAATGCTACTTCAAGAAGCTTATAACCAGACATGTAAATAAGTCCCTATAATTTTAGTGTGAACAGAGTTAAAACAGAGATACAGAGTTTACTGGGAACATTGGTTAGGAAAAACAATGCTATATATGGGAGGAGGGTTAGAGAGGCAATGTCCTATTTGAATTTGGCTCTGAAGGATGAGCAGGAGTTTGCCAAGTCGGAGAAGGGAACAGAAGACAATACCTGAAAATCAGGAATATTAAAAGTATGTGGGTGCCTGGGTTTCAGGCTCAGTCCTCAGTAGGGGGCGTGCAGGAGGCAGCTGATCAGTGATTCTCTCGCACCATTGATGTTTCTATCTCTCTCTCCCTCTCCCTTCCTCTCTGAAATAAATAAATAAATAAATATATTTTTAAAAAGTATGTGGGCCTGGCCGGCATGGTTCAGTTGTTGAGCATTTATCTACCTAATGAACCAGGAGGTCACGGTTTGATTCCCAGTCAGGGCACATGTCCGGGTTGCAGGCTCCATCTCCAGTGTGGAGTATGCAGGAGGCAGTGATCAATGATTCTCTCTCATTATTGATGTTTCTTTTTTCTTGCCTCTCTGAAATCTATGCAAACATATATAAATATTTTAAAGAATATAGTATGTTTGAGTGTTGTCATTTACTGTCACTAAGATCAGAGTGTATGGTGAGTGGTTGGGCTAGAGCAGATGGTGCCAGAAATAAGAAATGGCAGAGGTTGGTTGCTCATCACATTAAGATCACTGAAACTGCTAGAAATTAGGTTCAGTGTGAGATTTCAGTGTCTCTCACTTGGAATAGATTTGTCCATCTTGGCAAAATTTAAAGGTAGTTTTAAGACTTGGAAGTACAGGATATATTATAAAACAGTACACAAATTAGGTAGATAAAAAGTAATGACTCAGAAAAGGAGAAAGAAGTGTGCTGGTGCCCTGTGGTGAAGAGCCTTTGCATCGCGCTAAGGACTTTGGAGTTGATCCTGAAAACAATGGAGAGCCCACGAAGGACTGGAAGTACTTAGGGAAGGTAGCAAGGTGGTGGTCTGGTGTGGAGGCCCGGCAGGATGGGGAGATAAGTTAGAAGGCTATCGCTATTGGGATAGATAAGAGAAGATAGGGCCTGGAGTAGGAAAATAGCAAAGTGAAGAGGAGAGGACTGATCATGAAATGTAAATTTACAGGGATTAAAAACTGATTGGCTTTGAAGGTGAACAGAAAAGTAAATAATTTAGCTTCTAAGTTTGGGAATCTGTGGCTAGAAGAACATGTTTTGTTTTGTTTTGTTTTGTTTTGTTTTAAGTGTGAGAGGAAGGTAACCATTTTAGTTTTGAACATGCTGAGTTTGAAGTGTATGTGACATGCAGTTGGAGATGTCAAGAGAGGATCCGTAGCCTGGAAGGGAGGCTGAGATTGGTGATTCAGAGTGTGAGTTGCACAGTAAAAGGTCATTGAAGCCCTGAGGACAGACATAATTGCTCTGGAAGTACATTTGGAATTAGAAGAGAGGAATAGAAGGGGATGTTTACTTATTTATGCTAATTTCATCTTACACATGTGATTATAAGCCATAAAATGGTTTTTAATGGAAGGTTAACGCCTTTTACATCCAAATGAATTCTGTTCTTTTCCTCTACCCCCCCCCCCACCTCCTTTATTGATTACAGAGAGGATGGGAGAGGAGAGATAGAAACATCAATGATGAGAGAAAATCATTGATCGGCTGCCTACTGTACACCCCACACTGGGAATCCATCTCACAACCTGTGCGTGTATCCTGACTGGAGAATTGAACCATGATCTCCTGGTTCATAAGTTTATACTCAACCATTGAGCCATACCAGATGAGCTGAATCCTGTTCTCTTGAAATTTCATTTAGGCTTTACTCATTTATTTCAAAAATATATTGCCCAAAATATTATTGGAGTTTCTCTTTGTAAAAAAAAAAAAAAACTTTATAGCAAATTCAAAGCCATTCAAGAAAGTAGATATTTTGTTATAGAATTATTTTTTCCTCTATTGTACTTTCTATTTTCATGCTTTTTAAGCCTATTTATCTTAAGTCAAAGCTCCAGAGGCATATGGTATATACTCTTGGAAGTGAGAAATAGTTCTCTTTTAAAAAGGAAATCTTTGCCTCCCATGAATTTAGATTATCAATAAATGTCTGCTAGTTGATTCATCTTAATAACCAATCTTATTCAATCTTGGCTTCAAATAGCTTAGGTGTTTCTAAAATTCATTTTCATCCTCAAAGAAGGAAGGTTTGCCACCACGAATGAGACTCAAAAGAATGTGTTATGTAAGGCTTTGAAGGCATTTTCAAAAAAGAAATTTCAAAAATATTTTTCCAATTTGTGGTCTCATTAGAATAAGTGTAATATCTTCTAAAGCAAGGACTGGCAAACTTTCTGTAAAGGGCAGATGGTAAGTATTTTAGATTTTATGGGCTACACAGTCTCTGTCACAACTACCCAATCTGCCAAAAGACAGCCATAGACAATACGTAAGTGATTGAGCATGTATTGCAGGCGTCTTCAAACTACGGCCCGCAGGCCACATGCGGCCCGCAGAGGAGTCTGATCCGGCCCGCCAGGTTTTTTGGGCAGTGAGCGCAGCCGAGGTGTTACAGTAGGAATTAGTAGTTCATATAGTCCGGCCCTCCAGCTCTCTGAGGGACCGTGATCTGGCCCCCACTTTAAAAATTTTGAAGACGCCTGAATTGGGTTCCAATTTATTTATGGACACAAAACTTGGATTTCATATAATTTCCACATGTCATGAAATATACTTATTTGATTGTTTTTCCAATTATTTAAAAACTAGAGGCCCAGTGCATGAAACTCGTTCACAGGTAGGGTCCCTACTGGCTGCCAGCTACTGTCCGGCCTTCCTTCATCTGTGCCGCCCCTGGTGGTCAGTGCACATCATAGCTATTGATGTAACTCCCAGTTGGCTGAATTCCCCAGGGGACACTTTGTACATTAGCCTTTTATATATAGAGATGTGATACCTCAGAGGGTGTGCAAAAACAGGTGGCCATATTTGGCCTAGAGGAGTAGGCCTTACTCTGCTGTCCCTGTCCTCAGGAGTGTTCTTCGGAGTACTTGAATTTCTAAGTTTAGTCTTTCAAGAATGGTGATTCAGAGTTATATCTCCCATTTCTGAGTTCTAGTACATTTCATAGAACATCTGAAATGTTTCACTCATCCTCCATTTCTTGGAGAGTGAGTGAAAAATGTTTTCTTCACCGTTTGGAACCTGAGATACAGAGAAATAGATTGACTTCTGCAATGTCAGAATCAAAAATAGGTTTGAGCCGGCACCGGTTTGGCTCAGTGGATAGAGCATCGGCCTGAGGACTGAAGGGTCCCGGGTTCGATTCCGGTCAAGGGCATGTACCTTGGTTGCGGGCACAACCCCAGTAGGGGGTGTGCAGGGGGCAGCTGATCGATGACTCTCTCTCATCGATGTTTCTAACTCTCTATCCCCCTCTCTTCCTCTCTGTAAAAAATCAATAAAATATATTTTTTTAAAAATAGGTTTGAAAATACTTTTCAATATTCAGTACTCCTTTCTGGACCTGTAAACCAGCGATCTTTTTGCCTGGGTGGAAGTGTCGACATTGAAAGCTGGATGGAACATAAGACCAGAAAGTGAGTGTCCTGCAGGCTCCCTGAAGGTTGGGCAGGATGAAATCTTTTTTTCCCCCCTGACGTGAATGAATACTTTTCATCCCAAGGAAAAGAAAACATGAAGTATTTCTTCACTTCCTGGACATTGTAACATTTATCTGATGAAAGGATAAAGTAAATGATGGTGAGATAAGAGGAATTTTAAAGGACTTTCCCCTCTAGCTATGCCAGATATTTCTCTTTGCACCTCCTATTTTTGAGGAGGCAATTCAACATATTGTTTTCCTTATAAATTTTATATTCCTAATTGGCAGCCTGAAAATAGCAGTTTCAGCATTCAGTTCAGGTAGTACTGATTCATTTATACTGGTTAGAGATTATTATTTATGCTCTACTTTTTAAAGCTAGACTTCCATGGTTTTCATAGCCGTGATAGCTGTTTACAACCAAGGACATAAAAGAAAATTATTAGTTTTCCTTCAAAGTTTAAATCCACAGAAATGGCATATTTGTAGCTTGTTTCTGTGTGGATGTTAAAATTTAGGACAGATTGGGGTAACTGTGTGTGTGTGAGTTTTATTCTTGCTGCTACTTAGAAGAAATGTGCATTTTTCTCTCCCTTTTTCCATTGGAGTAATACACAAACAAAACACTCCAGCAGTCTAGGATATTTTTGAATTGGTTACTTAGCAGTAGGAAGCATAATGTCGTATTTAAATGTTTATCTGTATTCTCTGATACTCTGATTAAATAAGAGTCTATTAAGGCTGATGACAAGAGGGCCTGCTGGAGGAAATGACACTGTCTGCTCTGCAACAGCATTTGCTGCAAATCCTCTTCCCTGGTCCCCATTACACGGTCAGGGGTACCATGGAGCAAAAGAGGAAAATTATGCGAGGTAGAGTGATGGGCAATTTGAGCATGATCATAATTCTATCGTTATTATTACGCAGTTAACTTATATTAATCTAAGTCGAGGTCAAGCAAAATGTAGCCGAATTTTATCTGCTGTTGGTAGAAATTGTGAGATGCTATCTAAGCAAGGCTTATTTTTGAACTTGAAATGCATTCAAGTGTAGTGTTGTTAAGAGTTCAGTGATCATTGTACTTTAAATGCATACCATGCTTCTGTTCTGTACCATTTGGGACATTTCAACAGTGCTTCTACTATGGCTGTAGTCTGGTGTAGATTTCACAGTCTAGTAAATTGGTTAGACCACTGATACTATAAGTTACACTATGCTTTTAGTTTGTTAAATATAGTGCCAAGGAGGATTTTCTGTGCTGTTTAAATTTAACCACAATAGTATGTGCATAATTACAGAATTTTTGAAACTTTAAAAAATAATTTTAAGTAATGGAATAGACATTTTTATTACAAAACAGAGATAAATTATTTTTTTGTTGTTGTTTTGTTTTCCTTATCCAAGGATATTTTTTCCATTGATTTCTTAGAGAGAATGGAAGGGAAGGGGAGAGACAGGAAGAGAGAAACATCCATGTAAGGGAGACACATTGATTGGTTACCTCCCACAGGCACCCCAACCAGGGACCAGGGCCAGGGTGGAGCCTGTAACAGAGGTATGTGCCCTTGACCAGAATCCAACTAAGACCCTTCAGTCCTCAGGCTGATGCTCTAACCACTGAGGAACCCAGCCAGGGCAGAAGTTATTTTAAACGTTGTTTGAAGCTGTTGATAATAGTACTCTGCCCCCACCCCCAAGGCTTTCACTATGTTTTATTGAATATTTCCTGCAAGCACCCTTTCCACACTCCAGGAGTGGGAGGAAGACGGGCGGGCAGGCAGACAATAGACAAAGCAGTACAACTGGGAGTGCAGGCATCTCCAGCTTTCGTCTGTGTCCAGGGCAGCGGACGCTGGTCTTTGGCAGCAACAGTAAGCTGGGCACGAGTGAGCACATTGCCGAGCAGGTCATTGCTGGGCTCTCTCTGTCCCCTTTGTTCCAAGGGCTTGGAGCACTCTAGAATGACTGTTTTATGGATCTCTAAGCTTTGGTATGCATAGAACACCCTTAGGATGTCATGGATATAATGAAAAATACTAGAAGTTATTCAGTATATTAAAGGAGGCTTGCTGAGTGGCCAAGCTGTAAAATATTTTATTCAGAGCTAATTATACCTATTTACTGTCACAGTAGAGTCTGATAGTTAAGAGATGAGGAGCTAAGCTGATTGTGTGAATTTAGAATTTTTCTGGTTGAGAGGCATTCTCATTTGGCAGATTTTTCCAATGTTTTTTAATAACAAAATTTCAATATTGAACTGATATTTTTTTCCCCCTTCTGCTTTCGTCTCACATTTTGGACATCTTTCCATATCTTCACACAAATCTCTACCTCCTTCTTTTTAATCCTTGCATAACATTCAACCAGGGTGCTCTGTTTGGGTGAGTAGTTTGTTTATTGCACTTCGGTGCCCAGGTGAGGGGCTGAAACCCAGCTGAAGGTCTGCTTGTCAGTACAGTGTGCCAGGCTGCCCCTTCCCACAGGGATCCCCTCCTCACCTCACTCTGGCTCTGCCCACCCGCACCAGCCTGGCTGCCCCCTCATTCTGCTCAGGCACTAACATCCCTTGCCAGGCTACCCTCTATGGGGGGCAGACAGCTCACACCAGCATCCCTCTGACACAGATGCTCTCCTTCCTCCTGCTCTGTGCTCTGATCCCTGCCTTGGGCCCTGTGGTCCTAGCATCAGGCTGGGGCGCCTGCCTTCCCCTCTGCCACCCGGTGGCCTTAGGCTGTTGTCCCAGGGCGAGGTGTAACAATTTTGGTCTTAATAACAACTTGGATTATTTCTTAATGATATTGTTGGGCTTGAGGGTAAAAATATTGCAGGCCTAATTCTTCATGTGTTTTATTTTAAGTAGTAATTTGAGAGTCCGGGGATGTTTAATAACTATGTAAATGCAGTTTTATTTTCTGTGGCTTTTATGTTGCCAAGTGAGATACAATAGCCAATGGATGTATAATTTGGGGATGTGATTTGAAAACTTGAGAAATCTGTCTTCTGGCTTTTAAGCTTTAGAATGAGATAGGAAGTTACACTATAGAATTGGATATGAATGTATGTGTTTAGGAGAGCCTGTTATGTCTCTAGTTTTAAATCCTTGAAAAGTGCATCTTTTTATATACCAGTAAAAAGAAAGCCGGATACAATTACATATACACTGTAATTGCAGCTGTGTAAAACTATGCTTATGAACTAAGACAGGAAGGAAATATACCAAAATATACCAGCGATTATGCTGAACATGGTAGACATAAATATTCTTCCTAGTTTTCTTTCTTTTCCAAGTTTATAAAATGTATTACTTATGACTTTTAACGCTTTTTTAAAATTGCTTCTTTTTCGTTTCTGGAAACATTTTGAACCTTTGGACACTCTAGAAAGGAAGAGTTTTGCTGCCTTCCCCCCACCACCCTAATGCTTTCCTAAGGAGCTAGTTTAGCCACGCCTGAGCTCGTGATTTGAAAACTAGGTTACTTTAAAGTTATTCAAACCTATTTAGGAAGCTGAAAAAATCTGAGTTGGGTCAGTTATTTCTTCCTTTAGAAAGGGTTTTAAAAAGCATAATTAAATTAAAAGATTAAGATGAACTTCATCTAGAAGGCATTTAGGCTGCCAGCAGGCACATGAAAAGATGCTCTACCTCACTAATCATAAGGAAAATGTAAATCAGAACCACAACACTTGTTAGAATGACTGTTGTAAAATAATAATAATAATAATAATAATAATAATAATAATAAGTGTTAGCAAGGATGTGAAGAAAAGAGAACCTTTGTGTACTGTCACTATGGAAAATAGTACGGAGTTTCCTCAAAATATTAAAAAGAGAACTACCGTATGGTCTGGCAGTTCCACTTTCAGATATTTATCCAAAACAAAAGCACTAATTCGAAAAGATATTTGAACCCCATTGTTCATTATAGCATTATTTATAATAGCCAAGATTTAGAAACAGCCTAAGCATCCATAGATAGATGAGTGCATAGGAAATGCAAGATTGATCTATCTATCTATCTATCTCTCTCTCTTGCCATTTGTGGCAGCATAGATGGACCTCAAGGTGAATGAGTCCGACAAAAAAGACAAATACCATATGATCTCACTTATATGTAGAATCTAAAATATAAAGAAAAAAAACAAGGTCATAGATATGGAGAACAGATTGGTGGTTGCCAGGAGAGGGTGGGATAGGTGGGGGTTGGGGAGAGGGGAGTAGGAGGGCAAAATGGGTGAAGGAGGTCAAAAGGACAAACTTGTAGCTATAAAATAAGTCCCGGGATATAATGTAAAGCTTGGTGACTATAGCTGGTAATACTGGATTGCATATTTGAAAGCTGATGAGATTAAATCTTATAAATCCTCATGACAAGAAAAAATTTTATAACTATGTATGTTAACATGTTTAATAGATTTATTATGGTGTCCCTTTCAAAATGCCATACAAATATTGAATCATTAGTTGTAGACCTGGAACTAATAGAAATGTTATATGTCAGTTATACCTCAATAGCCGAAACCAGTTTGGCTCAGTGGATAGAGCGTCGGCCTGTGAACTGAGGGGTCCCAGGTTCGATTCCGGTCAAGAGCATGTAGCTTGGTTTCAGGCACATCCCCAGTCGGGGGTGTGCAGGAGGCAGCTGATTGATGTTTCTCTCTCATGGATGTTTCTAACTTTCTATCCTTCTCCCTTCTTCTCTGTAAAATATCAATAAAATATATTTTACAAAATTATACCTCAATAAAAGGTAAGTTTTAATTATATAGTTACTAACATTGCATTAATATAATTGTTTTTAAACAATTGTTTTTAAAGTTAATTTTACATGTAATTTCCCACATTGTAGCATTTTGTAAAACCTCCTCTTTTGCTGAAACATTTAATCTGATTTTAAAATTTAGCTCTGAGTCAGCTCTCTTTATCCGCACAGCTGGGAGTCATCAGTCCCCATGTCCCCCGCGTGCTCTGGTTATCTTCCAATCTCTCGGTTTGAGGTGGGCAGGAAGTACCTCCTCCTTTTTCCTGGGAGTCACACACACACACACACACACACACACACACCCCGCCCAGTTTCTTTAAAAAATCCTCTCTATTGTCTCTTGTAATTCTTACAATTAACAAATTATAATTCTCATGAAGTATTGACACGGCTAATGA